CGATCAAATGACCAACGTTCACATCGAGCTAATGAGTAGTATCAAGTGGATAGCAGGCGGACAAGGCATTCCGGCAAGAAATACATGGAGCTGACAGAGACGATCAATAAGATTATGTCGAAAATAGAACACCTTCCATTCTTCAAGTGGCCGCCCAAGATGACGGGACCCCCCGATGCGAGAAAACAAGATAAATGATGTGAGTATCATAAAGACCATGGTCACGACACTGAGAGTTGTTTTTCTTTAAAAGATCACCTGGAAGAATTGGTGCAAGACGGCCGACTTACGTAATACGTCCAAAAGAACAATTCAACAAATACAGTAGCTCTACGACCGGGGTCACCCTCTCTTGATTTAATTCATATGATATACAGTTTGCCGGCATCATCCGAGGTACACACAATCCAGTTGCCGTCTAGCACCTATAGCCCAATGACGCCAGTGAAACAGCCACACGACACTAGAAGGATTAGTTTCGACGACAGTGGTTTAGTTAGAGTGACTCACCCCCACACCGATCCCCTCGTCATCGAGCTATGTGTAAATAGATTCACCATCGAGCGTGTTCTTATTAACCAGGGTAGCACTTCGGAGATAATGTATTACAAACTTTTGTCAAACTTGGTTTTACCGATTCGAACCTGTCTCCGGCTGATTACCCGTTATTCGGCTTCAATGCTAACCCGGAGTACCCGTTGGGCAAGATCACACTACCTGTATGAGCCGGAACCAGGTCAGTAGACGTAGAATTTCTGGTAATTAAGCTCCATTCGCCGTATAATCTGATCATGGGCAGAACTTGGTTACATACGATGCAAGTTATACCAAGCACCTAGCACCAACTACTCCATTTTCTGACTGAATATGGTATTGAACAAATTCGTGGCTTTCAAAAATCGGCGCAGGCATGCTATCTTCTAGCTACAAAGAGATTGAGGGAACTGGAAGTGCATTCAATTGAGGTATCGGATAGGGAGAGTCTCAAAGACATTGGGAGCATCCCAAGTGACAAAGCAACCGAAGCCCTGCATCGGGTCAAAATTGATGGGAATCCTGAGAAGTTCTTCATGATCAATGCTTCCTTCGATAACGTCAAAAGGGAGGAATTGATGGCCTTCTTACTCGGAAATATTGATGTGTTTGCATGGTCTCCATACGAGATACCAGGAGTAGATCCATCAGTGGCCCAACACTGCTTGAACGTTGATTCGAAATATAAGCCAATTGTTCAAAGAAGCTGGCGGCCAACCGCGGAGCATACTTCAGCCGTCGTTGAAAAAGTAGATAGGTTACTTGACGCTGGGGCGGTTCGCGAAGTAACTTATCCTATATGGTTGTTCAATGTTGTGATCGTAAAGAAGAAGAATGGCTCTTGGCGCATCTGTGTGGATTTTACAGACTTGAACAAAGCTTGTCCCAAGGACTGTTTTCTCCTGCCCATAATAGACCAACTCGCAGATGCAACAGTACATCATCAACACATGAGCTTTTTGGATGCCTACAAAGGCTATCATCAAATTGCCATGCATCCGGAGGATCAAGAAAAAAATGTATGCCTCACCCCAAGAGGAACCTATTACTACAAGGTCATGCCTTTTGTGCTGAAGAATGCGGGGGCAACTTACCAAAGACTATTGACTTCCATGTTCAAGGAACAACGTGGCCGTACCATGGAAGTATACATCAACGATATGGTGGTCAAATCCAAGGAAAAGCACTCACATCTAGCCGATTTGTTAGAAACATTTGGCATTCTTCGAAAGTACAAGATAAAATTGAACGCTTCTAAGTGTGCATTCGACATCGGCTCTGGCAAATTCCTTGGCTACATCGTTAACCACCGTGGAATCAAAGCCAATCCAAGGCAGATAACGGCAATTCTAGAACTTGGATGCCCTCGATCAGTCAAAGAGGTTCAGAAGCTAATGGGGATGGCCGTCGCGCTCAACAGATTTATCAGTCGTTCCACAGATCGCTGCCGACAATTCTTTCACACACTTCGGCAAGGTAGAGCATTTGATTGGACTCCCGAGTGCCAAACCGCTTTAGACAGCCTAAAATCTTATCTCCGATCAGTACCTCTTGGCAACACCTACAGCCTGCGATCCACTCATTTTGTATCTAGCAGTATTCGACCGAGCGGTCAGCGTCGTATTGTTAAAAGAAAAACTTGGAGAACAGTGACCAGTTTACTGTGTGAGCAAAGCTATGGCCGACGCCGAGACATGTTACCTTCCATTAGAAAAACTTATCCTTGCTCTTGTCATGGCTGCAAGAAAACTGATGTACTACTTTCAGGGGCATACCATCGGGGTACCAACGGAATATCCCCTCTGGTCTGCACTCCGCAGTGCGGAAGTGTCTGGGCGCGTCTCGAAATGGGCTCTTGAACTCAACCAATATGACATCCAATTTCTACCCAGAACTTCCATCAAAGGACAAGTGCTTGCCAACTTTGTTGCCGAGTTCACAGGATCCCTGGTCGACTTTAAGTCTGATCAAGTGCAAACTAATCCCGATTGGAGAATGTATGTCGGCGACGTTTGGCAGATATGTTGTGATAGGTCATCCAACCAGCGTGGCAGTGGGGCTGGCGTAGTAATCATGACCCTTGAAGGGGCAATAATCAAACAGGCCGTCAAATTGGGATTCGACGCATCAAACAATGAGGCCGAATATGAAGCACTGTTAACCGGCCTGCGAAATACACTTCACCTCGGTGTGCGGCGTCTGCTTGTTTTCTGTGACTCAAAGCTAGTAATCAACCAGTTGAAAGGGGAATATGCAGCCAAAAATGACCGCGTGGCAGCCTATATGAAAACGGTGAATTCTTTGCTCGTGAAATTTGATCACCACAAACTAAATCAAATAACCCGGGATCAGAACATGCATGCAGACGCCCTGGCTTGCCTAGCCTTTGCTATCAACTCAGAAATTAAGCGGACAATTAAAGTAGTGTGTGTCCCCGAGCCGAGTATTGCCTCTTCAGAACCAGTTAATGTCAACGTTATCAAACCAGGTCCAAGTTGGATGGACCCTATTGCCACATTCCTATCTTCAGAACAGCTCCCGATGGATAAGAAAGAAGCACACAAGCTCCGAAACAAAGCCCTCTAATACTATTTGGATCCGCAGGGGAAGCTCTACAAAAAATCTCTCTCCGGGCCATACTTAAAGTGTGTTCACTCGGATAAAGTCGAGGAACTTTTGTCTGAAATACATGAAGGCAGTTGTGGTGCCCAATCGGGCGGACATTCTTTGGCTCACCGCACCGTATCACAGGGGTACTATTGGCCGACCATGCAAACCGACGATGAGTGTTATGTCGAGAAATGTGGCGAGTGCCAGAAGTTTTCCCCTTTAACTCACCTGCCAACCGAGGAGTTAAATTCTATCACTAGCCCTTGGCTGTTCGCTCAATGGGGCCTTGATATCGTCGGACCGTTACCACGGGCCCCGGGCAACAGGCGATTCCTAATTGTTGCGACGGATTATTTCACAATATGGGTCGAAGCGGAGGCACTAACACATATTCGAGATTCCGACAATAAGCATTTTGTATAGAAAAACATCATAACAAGATTCGGTAAACCACGAGCACTTGTTTCTAACAACGGTACCTAGTTTGATTGTGGCGTGTATCGAGAATTGTGCGACACTTATGGTATCCGGCCCTACTTTTCCTCACCGGCTTACCCCCAAAGCAATGGTCAAGCGGAGGCCACTAACAAGGTTATTTTGGACGGCATCAAGAAAAGGCTGGAGAAAGCTAAAGGCAGATGGGTCGAAGAGTTGCCCAATGTGTTGTGGGCTCATCGCACTAATCCGAGGCGATCCACTGGGGAAACACCGTTTGCTCTATGCTTCGGAACCTAGGCAATCATCCCCCTAGAGATCGGCTTCCCAACCTTAAAATCGAAAGTTTTTGATATAGGCCGAAATGACATGATGTTAGCCTTGGACTTGACTCTAATTGAAGAACGTCGAGACCGTGCCCTTGCATCCATGGCACGATACCAGCAACAGCTTGCTAAGTCGTATAATCAATATGTTCACCTGCGCCATTATACACCAAAAGAATTGGTCCTCAAGAAAGTGCTTCTCACTGCTAGGTATCCGCTTGACGGAAAATTGGGTCCTAACTAGGACGACATATAGGCCGAAATGACATGATGTTAGCCTTGGACTTGACTCTAATTGAAGAACGTCGAGACCGTGCCCTTGCATCCATGGCACGATACCAGCAACAGCTTGCTAAGTCGTATAATCAATATGTTCACCTGCGCCATTATACACCAAAAGAATTGGTCCTCAAGAAAGTGCTTCCCACTGCTAGGTATCCGCTTGACGGAAAATTGGGTCCTAACTAGGACGATCCCTATCAGATTGACTCAATTGTAGGGACAGGGGCATATCGGCTCAAAGGCATGCATTACAACAAAATTGAATTTTTACGGCTTGCAATGCATGCCGCAAAAACTCTTTTACGGCATGCATACAAATGCCGTTATATGACATGCCATGGAAAGTCAAACGTCATTTACAACATGCAAGTAAAGTTGTAAAAAGTAATAAATTAAACATTAATGACATACTTTGTATGTCGTAGATAATTTTTTACGACATTTTTGGCATGCCATAAATCATCATCCTTTCCATGACATAATTTTGCATGTCGTAGAAAGTTATTTTTAATATATTTATGGCATATTATGTATGCCGTATATAATCTTTTACGACATTTTTCTTGCATGTCATAAATTATTACACTTTTTACGACATAATTTTGTATGCCGTAAAAGGTTATTATTAATATATTTCCAGCATACTTTGTATGCCGTATATAATCTTTTACGGCATTTTCTTACATGTCATAAAGTATTACACTTTTCACGACATAATTTTGTATGCTGTAGAAGGTTATTTTTAATATATATATATATAGAGAGAGAGAGAGAGAGAAGCAAATTCAAAGTTCATTACACGAGTAAACTCAATATATGAACACGTAATATCATTAAGATGCCCACTTTAGTACTTGAAAAGCAAATTACAAGATTAGATAGCAAATTATATGTACAAATGAAAGCAAAAAATTATACACAACACAAGCCAGTCAAGTCTAATTCATTATTAGGAGTAGTAGAGAGAGCTAAAGAATCAATTAACTTGGCCAATACAAAAAGGCCTTGTCCCAATACCAATTGTAGGGATTCGAAGAGCAAATGTTGTAACAGCAGCAACAGATGCAGGCACACATTCCAGAAGAACATAAAAGCATCCAGATTCCTGCAAAGCCAGGGCAAACTCAACAACCTGTAAAAAAAATAAATCCATCTTAAGAGGAAATCTCTTCTTCAAAACTTACAAACTTATGAATTTTTTTGAAAAATATATAATATTGGTAAGGTCATAACAGTTTTATGCAAGGTCGTAGCTACCCAAAATTGGCAAAAACTACCCAAAATTGGATGGTAACCATTAGAGTATAATCAGCCACAAATGACAACATCCAAATGGTCATTTGGGAAATGGAGAGGTAAAGAAGTAGGCTCCTTGGAGGAGAGCTGCATTGCTTAGGTGTCAGCTAACTGATTAGGAAACTACAACTTACCTTGATCCTCATTTTTGTTATATTATTTTCACAGTAGCTGCTTTATTTAAAAAGAAATACCTCTATGAATGAAAAAAAAAATACCTCTATGATTTTTATATTTGAAAAAAAAATGCTTTTACATATTATGTAAAAGTACACATTGATGCTATTATATAATGTTAATATGTGAATAGTCATCCCATATACACTGTAAAAATACTCATGAAATATAGGAAAACCAAAAGAATTTTGAAAAAATTTAGGGACCATGTCATATACATTATAGAAATACTCCAAAATAGAGGGTTATTGGATGAATTTTGGAGACCTTAGGCCATAAGTAGCTTCCTCACTGACTTTGACTGCAACTGTGAAGCATATCACAAGTTTAACACTACCTTATAACAACCTTGCAATGTATATGTACAATAATACCTCTGTAACATTTCAAAAAACAAAAAAGGAAAATAACTGAAGTAGGTTGATTTCCATTAGACTAAATATTTAGGGGGGAAAACGCATGTAAATCTGATTTTTTCTACTACTGCAATGGTTATGGGTCTTCTTGCGTAGTATTGAGGATTAACCTTCCCTATATACTAAACAAAGCCTTCAATATAAACTTAGAGATCACAAGCACACAATAACTCAAGTAAATTCATGAGATATAAATTCTATTTTACCTGCACATCTACATGTTTATCTTCATAGCCTTAAGGAAAAATCCATTGTCGCATGACATCACAAAAATTTAGGGCCATCAGCCCTAAGAGAAAGGTAATAAATTAAATTGCTATACTAGGACGATCCCTATCAGATTGACTCAATTGTAGGGACAGGGGCATATCGGCTCAAAGGCATGCATTACAACAAAATTGAATTTTTACGGCTTGCAATGCATGCCGCAAAAACTCTTTTACGGCATGCACACAAATGCCGTTATATGACATGCCATGGAAAGTCAAACGTCATTTACAACATGTAGGTAAAGTTGTAAAAAGTAATAAATTAAACATTAATGACATACTTTGTATGTCGTAGAATGAAACAAGTTTTCAAATGCAGTGATGATTGAATTTGGAAACAAATTTCAAAAAAATGAAATTTAAAATAGAGGATAAATACAGATGGAGAAATTTATGCTGAAACAAGAACTTCTGATAAAACTTCACCTGTGTTCATTCATATGTACATATTCATTTTTTTTATTATGAAAATAAATTGAGCATAATAAAGCAGATGGATAGAGAATAAGACACTTAATAATGGTTGCATGAGTTACAGAAGCTGTGTACCATAGTAACTCAGAAACTAAAAAATCAGGAAGATGAGATTTATCCTTTAACACTCCACGCCTTCAGGATTTACCTGAAATCAAAATTTATTTCACTTTCAAAATATTTCCTAAAATTGAATAGATGTAAATAAAATCAAGTGAAATGTATTAAATTTGGAAGAAAAAAAATGTTGCGCCCTCACCACTAATGTAGTTTTTGGTCGGATTGACAGCCATACCAAACCAGTTAGAATATTCGTTACTGCCAAACCAAGTGTCAGTAGATCCGCTCTAGACTACGAACTGCTCGATGACAAGGTTTTAGATAATTGTTGTTTTAGATAATTCTGCAACTAGCAATCAATTAATATCAAGGACCATGGAAGATAAATCAAGGAACCCTAAGACAAAGAAGTGAAAAACTTCATTTCCATAAGCAACAGATGACATAAATATAGCTATAGCACAATATAATTAATCATATGACCGAAACAATTAAAGAACTCAGCAAGATTCTACGGCACTGAGAAAATGATGGACCAATTACAGTAATTTGCATGGTATTACCATGGACAAACCAAAAGTAGCCAGGGGAGGATTTTGCCTCTCAGATATGATTGTGTGTTAACAAATGACTAGCACACTGTAAACCACGTTCGAAGAATGATTAACAAAGAGAGAGTGCTAAGCAATAGAGAATACAAAAAGCCACTTCATAAAGTGCCAATAACAATGTAATACTAAGTTCAAGATCTATCTATCCGATCGAATTATAAAATTAGTAAGATCATCACTTTAAGTAACCTACTTGACAACTTAATACAAGATCGATAAATGAACCTTATTTTCAAACAACCAAAGGGGGTGGCACTTGAAATATTTGCATAGCAACCTTAAATATGCTTCAAAACCTTGCTACGATGGAATAAGAGCAGCTAACAATATAACAGTAAGGAGAACTCTGATAAACAAATAACTTATGTATATGCTTTGCTAAACATCATATTAAATCAATGAAGTTTTTTTTTTTTTGATGAATATCTTAGCACTCAACCAAAATCTACCTAGGCCACTCCCATGTCACCTCATGCATTCATATTTGACACCCAACAGTGTTTCTCACAGATTTTTCGATTCGACTAATCAGCCTGTCCACCATTCCCTATCGAAAAGGACAGGATTTGTAACAAACAGCGCAGTTCTTATTATAGCACTTATAAGGATGAGTACAAAGTGATGTTAGTGCAATGAGCAAGTAAACTGTGAGAGAGAGAGAGAGAGAGAGATAGAGAGGAAATGCACTCCATTAAAAGACAATGAAACAAAACAGAAAAGAGCAACCACTCTAAAGATGAGAGGGAGAGAGAGAGAGAGAGAGAGTAAATGCACTCCATTAAAAGAAAATGAAACAAAACAAAAAAGGGCAACCCATCTAAGCCTAACTAAAGTACAGGTTTACTTGGAAATTTATAAGGCTTATAGTAGGCGTCTGGTCTGTGGAGACAGATAGCTTGTAAAGGCCCTAGAGCATGCAAAAATTAATCATCAAAAGGTAAAGACTGGTTAATGATTATCATGCAACAAAAACTTAGTAGATAACATTAAATTGCGCAAAAGTAAAAATTATACTGAACTTCACATTTTCTATATACAACTTGATTACTTAACCATTACACGATACCTTTCATCATAAGCCCTGATGTTAAACAAATAAAACTAAAATTTTAGCCATTTTATGAGTTCAAGAGAAACCTAACATAATTGCTAAGAAGCTCTAACCCAAGATATTTCCTTATCTACATAGTTTACCTTCATTCCCAATTCAAATTGTGGTTTTTACTTCATCAATATGGAAAAGCATAAGTGCATTATAACCTAATTGGAGCAGAGATTTAGAGCAAGTATTGTATATTAGATCCAAATTACCCTCATACCCATTCAAGGGGTTAGAGTAGAAGCCAAACCAATTGAGCACATGAATTAGTATCCTCGATAGAGTGCTAGGCATAAATGGTAAGCACCCCCCACTTTATGTGGATGCCTAAATAATTTAGCTCTTACTTCATTCACTTTTCTCTCCACAAATACAAGATCCAAACATAGCCTAGAGAAAATAAAAATTAGTTTACATGGAAAATTAACATGGCCAAAGTTGCAAAATGTTCTCAATCTCTTCAAGCGATCAAAAGTTTTGATCACTTTGTGATCATCCATAGCTCAACAACATCCGAAGCAAGAGACAACAAAAAAGTACATCACATTAAATCATCATAAGAACATTGTCCAACTAAACTAAACTAAGAGGCATAGCAATTAACCAAACAATGCAGAATATATGACATTGGGATTCAAGATGTTCCGTAAAACAGAAAAACTTCTAGATCAGAGAGAGAATTTACCGCTTGAAATAGCAAGGGGTAAACCCTAGGAGGAGATTCAAGATTGTAAACCCTCGGAGGAGAAGAATCGACGGAATGAAGAGCTTGAGAGAGAGAGAGAGAGAGAGAGAGAGAGAGAGAGAATACGAAATTGAGATTGAATCAAAATCGATGACGATGGCTCACCTTAGTAGACGATGCAAATGGCGGTAGCAGTGGAGCTTCGAAATCGAGAGAGAGAACTTCGAAATTGAAATCACCGAGCTACGTATTGACTTATAAGCAGGGGACACAAGGTATTGATTTATGATAAAGAAGCTGCTCTACGAAATCGAAATCACCGAGTTGAAGTGAAGAGAGTGAGCCAGAGACTTGAGGGAGCCCAGCAGAGATTGTAACACATTTGGAGGCGTTTGTACTAGCTAAACGGTACCGTTTTAATTAATACAAAATGCAATACTCATAAAATGTCGTTAAATATTATAAAAATTTTAAAAAAATTGCTGTTAAAACAAGCATTTCCTGCAGTGATATATAATTTTTTTCAAAATCCCACTGGGTGCAATTATTCCTTAAAACATTAGATTAAAATTTTTTTTAATAAAAGTTTTTACAGCATGCTAATGCATGCCGTGTAGAGTTATAAGATTTTTATGACATGAAATGTATGTCATCTTAAGTATAAATATTTTATGACATATTTTTGTATGCCGTGAAAATATACATTTTTTACGGCATGCTTTTGAATGCCATAAAAAAATTTCAGATTGAATTTTTTTTTTTTGCAGAAGTTTTCATGACATGTTAATGCATGCCATGTAAAGTTATAATATTTTATAACATGAAATGTATATCATCTTAAGTGTAAATATTTTATGACAAATTTTTGTAAGTCGTAAAAACATACATTTTTTACGGCATACTTTTACATGCTATAAATATATGAATCAACGACTTACATAGTATGTATGCTGTTATTAATAAAACATTTACGGCTTGCAAAAAAAAAAAATGCCGTAGAATGTACTAACTACGACATGCATTTAATGCATGTCGTAAACATGATGCCGTGAATAGTTAGTTTTGTTGTAGTGATGGATGGAAGAAGCTTGCCATGACCGTGGAATTCCACACACTTGCGCAAATTTTATCATTAGGTCAGCTTGTATGGCACGACAGCTTGTTTTGATTTTACACCGTGTGTATCTTTCCCTTTTTCAATACAATGTTCCCTTGCCCAATGAGTTGTGGTTGTTTACTTAAGGTGGTTTCAAAAGCCTCCGAATTTTGATTGCCCTTCGTGAAAAACACGCTTGGGCCGAATAAGCCTCCGAATTCGGAGCGAACTACGTGAATGGCATTTGGGCCGAATAAGCCTCTGAATTCGGAGTGCCCTTTCGCAAATGGCATTTGGGCCAACACAAAGAAGCCTCTGAATTCGAAGCGCCCTACATGAATGACGTTTGGGCCGAATAAGCCTCCGAATTCAGAGCGCCCTTTCGCGAATGGCATTTGGGCCAACTCAAAGAAGCGTCCGAATTCGGAGCGCCCTTTCGCGAACAGCGTTTGGGCCAACACAAAGAAGTCGCTGAATTTGGAGAGCCCTACGTAAATGGCATTTGGGACGAATAAGCCTCCGAATTCGGAGCGTCCTTTCGCGAATGGCGTTTAGGCCAACACAAAGAAGTCTTCAAACTCAGAGCACCCTACGTAAATGGCATTTGAGTCGAATAAGCCTCCGAATTCGGAGCGCCCTTTCGTGAATGGCGTTTGGGCCAACACAAAGAAACCTCCGAATTCGGAGCGCCCTTTCGCGAATGGCATTTGGGCCAACATAAAGAAGTCTCCGAATTCGGAGCGCCCTACATAAATGGCGTTTAGGTCGAATAAGCCTCTGAATTTGGAGCGCCCTTTCGCGAATGGCGTTTGGGCCAACACAAAGAAGTCTCCGAATTTAGAGCACCCTACTTAAATGGCATTTGGGTCGAATAAGCCTCCGAATTCGGAGTGCCCTTTCGCGAATGGTGTTTAGGCCAACACAAAGAAGCCTTCGAATGCAGAGCGCCCTTTTGCGAATAGCGTTTGGGCCAAATCAAAGAAGCCTCCGAATTCAGAGCGCCCTTTTGCAAATGGCATTTGGGCCGAATAAGCCTCCGAATTCGGAGCACCCTTCGTGAAAAACATGGTTGGCACAAATGAGCATCTGAATTCGGAGCTCCTTTCATGAGCACCTTTCATGAATATTGTGATTGATAAGCGCCAACACAATTGACATAAAATGGTAGATGATCATAACTAAATTTATAAACATTGATTGAAATAACTTGCAAACATTTCAAATAATATGCTTCATTAAAGTGATCGAGAATACAAAATTCGTATCCAATTTGCATTAAAAAGGTACAATGTGTTCAGTTTTATTTAGTACCACCTTCGTCGTCACTCTTTTCAACTTCGAAAGCCGAGAAGGGAAAGTTGTGACCCTGATATAACGGCAATGCCAAATCAACGCCTATTGCATGGAGAGCCTCCGTGGCCTGGAGAGCCCTAATCCACCCGTGCCTGAATCCACGATTCTCACATCGACAGACCTCCTCAGCGAGTTTTTCCTTAGTCTTCTGCATCCTAACTTTTCAGCCGTCATGGAAGCCTTGTTCATAGGCCCTGGTCTTCACACCCTCTATCGCAAACATGCTTGCCGTTTCTTGATCGGCAATCGCATGACTTATAAGCCCTTGGGTCACCCTTTCCTCCATATTCGGGTTAGCCTGGCCTGCCGATAACGTCTCGACAGTTTTGACTCTTCTTAATTCTCATTCGGCTTTCTCCGCACAAGCTTCTAAATTTCGAATGCATTCGTCTTTCTACTCTATCTCCCACCACGCGGCACGTAGGCGCATGCCGATTTCATAGGCAGTGTATAACCCTTTCACCACTCCATGAACGCCCTCCCAAAACACTTCGAAATCAGGTTGACCGATCATCGACTGCTAGACCTCTGGCGAAAAAATCTGTCGTGCAAATTCAACTACCACGTGTGGATCTCGGACGATTGAATCTGCCTCCGTCATTGGTTTGTTCCCAATAAAGACTAAAAAACTCAACGGACGCGGTGGCCCACTAGCCTCACTTCGCGAATAAGAGGAGTTCCCCTGCTGCCGCTTCTCCTTCCTAAGAGACCTGCTTCGATGACATGGAGAGTGACGCCTCTCGCACTCCCCAGACGTCCTACTTCCCGTTCGTGAAGGTTCGCCACCTCGATTCATCGTTGAGTCCAGTTCAGCCAGTGTCCTACCTTTCCCCCTACTGTTGAAGAATAGTTTACTTGACGTTCACACTTTTCCAACCTCGTTCAATGCACTAGGTTGAGTTGAGTTTGGACACACTAATGGAATCTACACGCACGAAGCAACCACCCCTTTTTATTACTCACGGGTGCACCGCACTCCTGAGGCGATCTCATCAATGCTCGCATTCCATGAGCTGCCGATATTCGGCGTTCCAGTTCATTAACTGGGGCAAGGGCAGATTCGTTAATCTTAGTGGCTAAGGATTCGTTAATCTAATCGGCCAAATTTCAAGGCCTTACGCCGATAGGTCCACGTGCCCTAGCTATTCCATGAGCCGTGATATTCGACGTTCCAGTTCATTAACTGGGGCAAGGGCAAATTCATTAATCTTAGCAGCTAAGGATTCGCTAATCTAATCGGCCAAATTTTAAGGCCTTGCGCCGATAGGTCCACGTGCCCCAGCCATTCCATGAGCCGCCGATATTTGTCGTTCCAGTTCATTAACTGCGGCAAGGGCAGATTCATTAATCTTAGCGGACAAGGATTCGCTAATCTAATTGGCCAAATGGCAAGGCCTTACGCCGATAGGTTCATGTGCCCCAGCCATTCCATGAACCGCTAATATTCGGCGCTCTAGTTCATTCCTCACTAGGGCAAGGGCAGATTCGTTAATCTTAGCGGCTAAGGGTTCACTAATCTAATCGGTCAAATCTCAAGGCCCTGCGCCGATATAATCATGTCGTTTGGGCATGTTCATGAATTCATTCGGCTAAATTGAAAAACAGCTAAATTGCCAAGATACGCAGTTATCTATTCAGCAGCTATTTAGTGGGATGTTTAATTTACTCATCTCATGATCCTACACCCTATTGGATCGATATCTAGCACGAGCAACAGATAGTAGTCATTTTACCCAAAGTAGTGAAAAGCAAAAATCTTCATTAATAACAAAAATTGAGTACAGACAATAGTGAAAAGCAAAGAAAATTTTTATTCATAAATTGAGTACAGATAGTAGCTATTTTATACATGAAAATTACCTTAGATTAACAGAAATCTACTAACAAAAATTTACAAGAACCATGCATGGAAGATGCCTAACAAAAATCAAAATGTCACCCTAGTCAATATTCGAGGTTAGACTCCAGCGGCTCAACGTCCACCTGCTCGTATGGAATCGGCTAGGCCAATGTCACATTAGCGATAGTGAGGGCTTTGAGCCAGCCGTATTTGAAGCCCCGATTCTCGAATTTGGGGACTTCCTCCACATGGTTCTCCAAGGCGGCGTCCTTCCCAACTTGGAACGCTTTGGAAATCTCGGAGTCGGCTATTTCCTTCGCCTTCTTTGATTCTTCCAAGTCAGCTTCCAGCTTGGCAATCACCTCCTTGGCTAACTTGAGCGCTTCTTCGCTCGCGTTTGCCTTCTCCTCGGCAGCCAATCTGAGCTGGTCAGAACTCCTCGCCTTTTCTGCCTCGGCGTCGGCCTTTGCACTTTCCTCCGCCACTTTTGTCGCCTCGTACTCGGACCTTTGAGAGGCCTCCGCAACCTTGCTCTTCTCACTTTCAATTTTCACTTTCAGAAAGCTAATCTGTTCAATGGTATCATGTTGACAACGGCCTATCTCGGCTATCCTTCTCGCCATCTGCAAAATAGGGAATTAGAATAAAAATAAAAATATAGGCGGAAAGCAACAGATAAGGATCATGTACCAATATGGCCAACTGAGCGGCTAATGTTATTGCCAGCAAATCTGGCTCCGCCTGAAAAGTTACCATGTCAGCCGGTAGGGAAATTGAGGAAGCCATGCTCAATGCCAGAGCCGGATCTTTCAGAGCCGACGCATTAGAGGAAATTGGCACATTTTTTATCCTTGGTTGAACAACAAATGG